TATTGTTACATGTACAATACTTTATTGTAAGCCAGAAAATATTTCAAACTTAAGGATCCCCGTACAACTGCCAAAAGTTATAACTATATTAAACTTATTTCCACCGTAACTACAAACTATCAACTATTCAACAACAGTAGTCTTAGAATAAAAATGCAACGAGGACAGACAGCAATTCTTGCTACAGTTCTATTGTTTCCGTATCCAACACCAATTTAATCTGGAGGTTAATATGTTTAAAAAAATAAAAAAATAAAAAACCGTGGAATTCTCCTATAATTGGACAGGCATCCTAAAGTGTATTTTGCCGAACAAATTGCATATTAATGTCATACGCTTAACCATATGCTGGTGTTTTAGGTACTCACTGGGTAGCGAATATAGTTATACCTTTGATCACTGGGTCAATAGGCTTTTCCTCTGAAGAGAACGGGTTAACCCTGGAGTTTCATGACCTGAGCGCCGCCGATGAGATAGAAGATCGTCGTGCAATTGGCTCCCACCTCTCCTACCCTTTCATCCCAGCAGGTGTCAAAGGCGGAACGGGCAAAGTAATCAACGTCCTCAGAAATCCAAAGGATACGTTTGTCTCCTTTTGGAAATACTTCAGTACGATGTTAAATACTGGCTATGAGGGAACAATGGATGGATTTCTTCGTTTTTTCTTGTCCGACGAGTGTAAGAAAATACAGCAAGTCAAGTATATATTGCTATTTTAACCATGTCGAAAGTTTGATATCAAATGCAAAAGAAAAGAATGAAACAACAGCTTTTCATTGTTAGAGAATGATGTGATATATTTTGAAGTGGTATAAACATGCCAACTTGTAATTTGATAATCAATTCTATTCTATAACGAATTTCATAGTAAATCATATTTTACTAAATAGCGATAATTTCTTTAAATGTAAGGAAGAAATGAAAACCAAAATTAATATTTACGATAATAAAAGCCGCGTTCGATTTCAGTTTACATGTCTGCATCGTGGTTTACCTATATAAAGGAATGGACGGATGGAAAATCAAACAACCCTGACATTCAAGTGCACACGGTGTGGTATGAGGATCTCAAAGAGGTAAGATTTTTTTTCAAGGAAGAATACAACTGCATATTTATCCTTTGAGGCGACATAAATGGTCCCACTGTGGCATCGGATTCTTTTTTCAGTGTCTTCTCCTTTAGACGTTTAAGAGAAAAGATTTGCTGTCCTCTTTGGAGCACTTTGGACGTCTATTTGTTTTTCGCAATTAATTTTGTTGGCGTTCCCAATCCCCTACAGGTTTGGTAAAAGAGTCGGACCTGCTTTATACTGCAATTTTCATAACAGGCGACTTATTATTTACTGTGTCTCTTGTTAAGGAAACATCGAAGAAATCGAAAATGATCTGCTGCACCTATTGCAACGCTCTGTTTTTTCTTTGTCACTTCATTACATTTTTTGGCCGTGTCCCCTTAGTATTATGACTTTATATTACCTCAGATGTTGCAAGGACGTCAAGCCTCGGCCAAGCATAACGCAGCGTCTCCCTAGCCGTTCGCAGTTCCAGACTTAAGCTAATTCATGATATAAAACCGCAAACAAAACAAAGAACTTGACACCAAACCTCTTATCAAATGTTTTTCAAGAATGAAAATAGACACGTTTTTTACTGAACTTACTTCTGGGTTTTTTAATACCGATGAATCAAAGAGAGTACACATCTTTGATTTAATTGAAAATGCATGATTATTAATAACATCAATGATTGTCTTTTCAGAACCTTTATGACGAAATCGTCAAAATTTCAGCGTTTTTAGGCTCAAAAGTAGATGAGAAGTTCCTACGCGAAGTAGAAAGCAGTGTCTCTTTTACACGTTTAAAGGCTGCACATAACACAGATACCGGAACCACAGACCGATGGAAAGATTTATGTAAAGATGGCCGTCTACCTATTTACAGAAAGGGTCAGTACTGTTGTTTTGCTATATGTGCTATATCGGTTCATATATATTCCTAGAGCTGCCCTAAATATCGAAGTTTAAAAAAGTATATACCAAATATATACCTTTTT